TCAGTGAAACAGCTTGTCTCTACACCTGTGATGGCAAACCTATGGCACGTGTGTCAGAGGTGGCACGCAGAGCCCTCTATGTGGGCACGTGTGCCATCACCATCTGGTCTTCTGGTTTCCGGTGCGCACATGCATGCCGGCCAGCTGATCTTCGCGCGTGCCGGAGCCCCGGAAACCTGAAGACCAGTTGGCCAGTTGCACATGCATGCACCAGCCAGCTGGTCTTTGAGTTTCCAGGGCTCCGGCACACGCATGTTCCAGTTTGGGCACTTGGTACCAAAAAGGTTCGCCATCACTGCTCTAGACATTGTGGGTGCTTCATCACTGGAGGTTTTTAAGAAGAGATTGGACAGCCATTTGTCTGGAATCGTATAGGGCAGTGATGGTTAACCTTTTTGCCATCGCGTGCCAAAAGTGGGGGGAGCGCAGGGGGGTCGTGCACGCACGTGCCCACACCCATTTCTATGTGCCCCGTCCAACGCATGTGTGCGCTTCCCCCGCGCTTCCCCCACTTTTCACACACGATGGCACGGTGGGCCCGGTAGGCCTGTTTTTCACCCTCCTCAGGCTCCAGAGCCTTTCTAGGAACCTGGGAAGGGCAAAAATGGTCTCCCCCCCCCAGAGGCCCTTTGGAGGCCGGAAACGGCCTGTTTGACAACATTCACGGGGCCTGAAAATCAGCTGGCACGCCGGAGCTGAGCTCATGTGCCCACTGATATGGCTCCGCGTGTCACCTGTGGCACGCATGCCATAGGTTCGCCATCACAGGTATAGGGTCTCCTGCTTAAGCAGGGGGTTGGACTAGAAGACTTCCAAAGTCCCTTCCAACTCTTTTATTCTGTAATTCTGAATACAGAATTTTTTTACTACTGGTTCAGGAAAATAGGTAGTAAAAAATGCTTTTAAAAAGTCAAAAAAAAGGTTCCGACAATCATAGCTGTGCCCACGCGATCATCAGAACCTTTTTAAAAACTTTTTTAAAGCATTTTTTTACTACCTATTCGCCCAAACCGGTAGTAAAAACTGCTTTTAAAAAGTTTTTTAAAAAGTTCCCAAGATTGCGCGCCACAGCTGTGATCTTGGGAACCTTTTTTTAACCTTTTTAAAGCATTTTTTTACTACCGGTTTGAGTGAATAGGTAATTAAAAAAATGCTTTTAAAAAGTAAACAAAAGAGGCTCGGACAATCACAGCTGTGCTGCTCAATCATCCAAGCCTTTTTTTTTTTTACTTTTTTAAAGCATTTTTTTACTACCTATTTGCCCGAATCATTAGTTTAAAAAATGCTTAAAAAGTAAAAAAGAAGTTCCGACGATCGCGCGTTGCTCAGCTGATCATTGGAACTTTTTTTTTTACTACCGGTTTGAGTGAACCGGCCCGAACTGGTAGCATTTCACCCCTAGTTAAGCCATAATTGGTTTATTTCATTTGGGATTTAGAAGTTCTTGTGAACCAGGACTTTGTTAGAAAACAGTAACTCAAATTAATTATAATTTAGTTCCATGTGTGAACTTAACCACTATTAGCATATTGTTCCTTGTGCTTGCTAGATAGTTCATCAGATATGCCCACACGGTACTGATAAAAAACAGGAGTGAAAAACATCAGAGAGAGTTCATTCCCAGAATGAATTTACAATTACTGTATTTTTCGGAGTATAAGATGGACCAGAGTATAAGACGTACCTTAGATTTGGGGTAGGAAAATAAGAAAAAAGCTGATTGGCAGGTGGATCAGCCTCCCAGAATACCCCCTATCAGCTGTTCCCAGAGGTGAATTTTAGCAACAGGTTCCTTGGTTGTCAGCTCTGTGCCTTGCTTTAAAAAAAAAAAAAATCTGCCTCTGAAACTTCTGAAACTCTGTTTCAGAAAAAAACTTTTTTTCCTGCCTCTGAAAGCCTCTGAAACAGAGCTTCAGAAAAAAAAAGCCTCTGAAGCTCTGTTTGGAGGCTTCTTTTCTGAAACTTCATTTCTGATGCTTTTTTCAGCCTCTGAAACCTCCGTTTGAGAAGCCGGGCGGGGCTATATTTGGAGTATAAGATGCACCCAGATTTTCACCCTCTTTTTTGGGGGGAAAAGGTGCGTCTTATACTCCGAAAAATACGGTAGTTTTTCTAAAATTTTCACACTTACTTTCCCCATAGGATTCACATGGAAAGCCTTTAAATGTAGGTGTAAGATAGTTATTTAGCCATGAATAATAACTTCTTGGGAACTGAAGCTATATTTTAGCACTCAACCACATGGGTGGAGACTGACCAGTTGGGTGTATCTGATCCCTCTCCATGTGAAATCACTTAAATGTTCTTCAAACCTTGTAACAGCCATTCCAGAAATAGCAGTTCCTATATTGGTCCCATAAAAGGTCAAAACTTCTCAGAATAATAAAAGTGGCCAAACAAACCCATAAAAGTGATAGCATTGTAAATCGTGGAGCGTAATATATAGCTGAAAATTTGTAATAGATGCAAATCTGAAGAAGTATCACGCTGAAAGCTATGCAATGTCAAGGCAAGGCAAGGTCTAGGTTTGAGCATTTCAATCCTATCTGCTAAATCTGGTCTTTTGCAAAGATAACTGACAACTGGATTGGGACGGAAAGGAGCTAGCAGGCAAAATGTAAATGAAGGGAAGTAACTCATTGCTCAGAAAAACTCCTTCTTACAGACACGAAAGCAGATTGGGAAACGACAATTGTAAACCAAGATTTCAAAGTGCACAAGATTTAAAGTTCAGCCTTTATTAATAAATATTTTGTATCCCACATGGCAAGAACGTTTGCAATGAAAATGGAAGTTCATGAAAATTCAACACAGCATCAATTTACCTTTTATGACATTTTGCACCAAAAGGAAAAAGAAATGCCATATAATTCCATTAGTATTTTCAGACTAAAGTGTTTTCAGGCTGCCACTGATCATGTATGTATAAAATAGCAGACATTAAGATTGGAAGTTTTTGTCTGATATTATTTTCATTATGCCCAAACACTCACCCCCCCCTCTCTCTTTCATATGTGATTTTTAAAGGATAAATCTCAAAAAAGATTATTTCTGCAGCAACAAAGGGAAAGTAATTTTTTACACACCTAAGAAAGAGCTACATCAATTACAAATTTTATTATTCCATGTTCGATGCAAATGGAGAATTTTCCCTGGGCTAAAATAGTGAAATATTCTGCATTTAATGCTATCATGTGGACATTTTTTTCTAAAAAAGGGAAAATAGATCAGCATTGTTATGCTTCCAAAACACAAAACATGCACTGTTCCCAGAAAGCTGCATGCTATGATTTGAGACAGTTCAGCACAACTGATGTTCTGTTCCATATACATGGTTATATTCTTTTCCTTCAGTTCTTTCTTCTTAATATACTACCTTGAAAATGTAAATTCTTTTGTCTTTCCCTTCATCATGTTTATCATTCTCTTGCTTAAATCATTGAGGTTTTTATTTTCTTCTGCTCTGGAGATATTTGTGCTCCATTTAGCGGTATGGCATCCTATGGCAGCCATTTTTGCACTGCTCATGACACAAATTTCCAACGAAGTTACTTAGCTGACATCAAGCCATTGCTGTGTAGAACAACTCAGAAAAGGAATGTATAGAAAAGGCAGAGAACAGGATCAGATTAGATGTAAACTGCACATTCACAAAGGATGTTTCTAGCTTGAAAAAAGGTTGAATAATTTTTAAACAACCTAAATCCTGTAATAGCTTTGGGTGAGGTGGAATCTCAGTTTGAGATGCAATCAGCACAGACTCATCCACAACAGCCTGTGCCCATCTTCAACAGTGAAGGGGCACAGGGCAGAAAGCATCCTGCAGCCAAGAAGGCTCCCACACCCATTTGCAACACTCAAGTGACCCTGAGGACCAGTGGTGAAATGTAAAATTTGTTGCTACCGGTTCTGTGGGTGTGGCTTGGTGGGGTGGGGGGTAATGTGACTGGGTGGGCATGGCCAACTTTCTTTTTTCTTTTAAAAGCATTTTTTCTACAACCTCTTCGGCCGAAGAGGTTGTAAAAAAAATGCTTTTCAAAGGCTCTGACGATCCCAGCTGAGTTGCCTGATTGTCAGAGACTTTTTTCTTTTAAAAGCAATTTTTTTTTTTGCTTTTAAAAGAAAAAAAAGCCTCTGGTGATCAGGCAACTCAGCTGGCTCAGACGATCCCAGCTGAGCCGCATGATCATCAGAGGCTTTGGGGTTTTTTTCACTTTTAAAAGCATTTTTTCGGCTGAAGAAAAAATGCTTTTAAAAGTAAAAAAAAAAAAGCTTCTGATGATTGTGCAGCTCAGCTGGGCATGGGGAGGGCAGGGATTTTTGCTACCGGTTCTCTGAACCACCCGCCACCATCGCTACCAGATCAGGCGATCCAGTCCAAACCGGGAGCATTTCACCTCTGCTGAGGACACAGATAAACCTCCAAGTGGCCTCAAGGACTCTATAAAAAAATACAAATGACCAGCTGTCTGTCAGGAATATAAATCCTTCCATTCCACCATTCAGTCAGAGCGGAAGAAGCTTTTTGGGTGAGAATCAAAACGTCTTCAAAAAAAAAAAACAAGAAAATCCAGTTGTCTCCTGAAAAAGCATCTTTGGGTGGAACTGGAAGTATTTAAAACCACAGCATGTGACTCCTCATTAGTTCTAGTGAGCATTGCTTTCTTTCCTGATCTTCCTTCCCTAAACACTTTAATTGCAACTTTAATTGTGAACAAAGTTTATAGCATGGCCGTTAGTCACTTAGTGTATCATAAATTCATTGTATTTTATGGGCCAATTAAAAGAAAGTGGAGCAACTGTTTCTTGAGCCACAATATTCTTTGTATTGTATTTTTCTCATTTACCTTCTTCTGATCTGCGATAAACTGATATAAAAGGCACACATTTTAAGACTTTTTCAGTATTCTCCTGGACCGAGTCTTAATTTTAAGTAAATAAATAAAAAAAAAACCCTCCCCTCCCCCTCCCCAACATACACACATGGACACATAAGAAAAGAGATGAAACATGGTCTGTATAATCTTGTTAATCCATCACACCAAGCAATATTATCTCCATCAAAATTAGAATTACCTTGTAATCCTAACAAAGATTGCTTCCAGATGAATATTTTATTACAAAATCACAACAAATTCACTGGAATTTATTAAGAAAGGAAAGTTATGCATAAACCTTCCATGTTTTCCTACTCCCTCTGGTATCTTTTTTATGGGGCAGAAAGTCTGACTGAGAAACAGAGCAAAATAATATGAGCTTCCAATGAGGGAATTTCACCCAGCAATTCTATTACCTTTTTCAGGAGCTATGACTTTAACCTGGGGAGAGATATATTGAGCAAAATGAGATTATTATACCTCAGTTCGTTATAAATTTATTTTTATATATATATTTAAAGCCAGTGTAGAGCTGCCATTTAAAACTATGACATTGAAACTCAAAATTTGAATGCACATACAGCTGTTTTGGCTTGGGTCCCATGAATGTTGGTTTGCCGATATTATGGAAACAACCAGTCAGGGCACTTTTATAGTCTAATGCAAGGTCACCAGTGATTCCTTTTTCCATCCCGGCTTCCAACTTAAGAGGCAAAGGCTTACCCAAAGCACCTAATTTGCCTCCAAAGTATACCACAAAAATCTCAGTTATTTCTCAAGCCTAATGGAAAAGTGTGTGAGAGGTTATCCCTTATCCCTATATATTTGCTGCACTTTTGTGTTACTTGCAGTCATTTAAAAGTGCAGCACAATGCTTAAGCCTCGGCCCTTCAAGGATTTTCAAGATTCATTAAGCCAACAGACTCCCCCACTATTTTGCTCAGCTTCAGGTTCAGGTGGAAGGCTGGTTCTCATGGTTACCAGAATGAAGGACATATTCAGTTTGGTTGAGTGTAGTAAATGGATGTGTGGGCTTCTCTGCAGAATTTCTACATTCCTTTCCTAAACCTAAGAGGTAACTCAAATATCAAGCAAATGAAGAAGCAGTATTTCCTATGACATTAATAATAATAATAACAATAAGAACATGGATTAAAAAGATTATAGTATCAAAGATTTTCTCTGGCTTCTTTCATTAAAAAAAAAATCAGTTATTCCTAGGGGAGTATTAGTTACATGCAGTAGGATTGAGTGTTACTCAAGTGAACAGCTTTGCCAAAAGCTGAAAGTCCAGCTTATGAGTCTACACCCACCTCCACTCACATAGAAACTAGAACTGTGGCACAAAAGTGCAGCATTGGTAGGCCAAAGGCTTTCAAATAAAGGTGTACAGTATTTTTATATGCCCTCGTTCTTGGGAAAGGCTTAAGATCTTAGAAGACGAATGCCATATGGCTAATGTACTTATGTTCTGTCCATCAGCAAATATGTCTGGTCTAACCAAAAGACATTCAGACAACGAGAGCACAGCTTGCAGTCCAAGGTGCAAAAAGACTAGTGCATATAGTCTGGAATCTCTTTATGTTAATCCAAACAGCCAGTCATGGATGCTACAAAAATGTCACATCTTCTTGAGACTCAGCCCACTGCCATTGGCCATCATATTCCAGGTGCTTCCTGTTATCGAGCTTGCAATTTTCTGAATCAATTTTGCTCTTCCTGGAGGCCTTTACTGCTACACTCTCTTTGCTTGGTTGCTCAGCAGCTGCAGAGGTAAATTTCTCCTCAAGGCTCTGTACTAGTTTAGGGACTTGTCTACCCAAGATTCCATTAGCCATTGGTGGTGACAGTTGGACCGGTGCACTTGGCTTGTTAAAACTTTGGCTCTTAACTAAACTAGAGGCCCATTCAGGATACGTTTTGCTTTTGTCTTGCTCTTTGTCCATCTTTGCAAGAAAGACTCTCTCTAGATCTGCCTTCGATCTTTCTAATTCACTTCTGCCCAGAGGTCTACCTAAGGTAGGTGACATTATGGGTTCCACAGAAGAACTTTGTCCATATTCATCCATATCATCAGCTAGTGTGTCCAAATAACTACCAATAGATATACTATCCAGTTTGTCATTGGGATCCTGAAGACTATTCCAGCTGCCTCGTCGGGATGTATCTTGACTTTCTACCAAGCTGTACTGACTGCTGGTAAGGCTGCTACAGTGGCTGGTCAGCATCCCTTTTTCCTCAAGAAACCACTTGACAGCTTCTATTCCATCATTCACAGCTACCAGTTGATGGAGGATCTTGATATCTATTGCTCTTAGATAGGCCTGTGGATGAAAGAAGAAGATATAATCAGATCATATGCTGGATGGAAGATCTTCAAGGTAAATTGGAATTACTGTAGATCAGGGGTATCAAACTGGCGGCCCATGGGCCAGATACATTACGTGCAGGCTACGCCCATCCCAGTTCCACGAATGGGAAAAAGTCACGAAACGTCATGTGACGGTAATGTGACGTGGCAAATTTGGCACCCATTCTGTAGACTATTATAATAGTTAAAGGCCCAATATTTCTCAATATTTCTCAATGCAAAGCACACCAACTACAAATGTATCTAAGGAACAATTTTTCACATCTAAGTGGGCTCAGGATGTTTTCATATGCCAAACAATATCACACCCATTCTAAGGCAACATATTAATGATACTTCGCCAATACACATGAATACTCCCACTGAGTTGAAATGGAAAGGATTGTGTGTCAATGAGAGAAAAAGGAAGAATCTGTTGGTAGTCTTGGCCATTGCTAAAATAAACTGCTTAATACAGGTAATCCTTGACTTAAATTTATAACAGTTCATTTAGTGATCATTCAAAGCTACAACAGCACTGAAAAAAAGTGACTTATTACCTTTTTCACACATATGACCATTATAGCATTTCCATGGTCATGTGATTTACATACAGATGCTTGACAATTGGTTCATAGTTATGGCGCTTGCAGTATCCCACAGTAATGTGATCCCCTTTTGTGACATGACAAGCAAAGTCAATGGGGAAACCAGATTCACTTAACAAATGTGTTCCTAACTTAACAACTGCAGTTATTCACTTAACAACTGTGGCAAGAAAAGTCATAAAATGGGGCAAAACTCACTTAACAAATTTCTCACTTGGCAACATAAATTTTGGGCTCAATTATGATCATAAGTCAGGACTACCTGTATTCCCAAGGATTGAAAAAGTTCCCCAATCCTGATGTCAGTGATATATATTTCCACAAAATGTTGAATAATGGGAGAAAGAATAATAGAATAAATTGATAGTGGCTGTCATGTGCATAAATGCGAAACTATATAGAAGACTAATAGGTCTTCTCTTGAGCAAAACTAGAATTTATTTCCTCATTCCCTGAAAAAAAAAAGCCCTAAACATTTACCATTATGGAATTGCACAACTACTAAATTATGCATAAATATTTTGAACTTTGAAATATTTAAAAACTACAGTATGTGTGGTCAAGCCATAAGCCATGAAAATACATTATCTTCAAAATCAAAAGTATACTCACTGATGATATGGAAAATTCCATCCTCATGATAAATTGTCCAGTAGGGACATGAAATCAGCAGATTTTCTACTACCACCTAGTAATTGGCACTGGGATAATGTACATCCTATTCTAATGTAAATGTTCTTGTATGATTTATAATGTAATATGTTTGGACCATTGCACTTGGGTTTTGTAATCTTCTGGGAAATTTAGGATGAAAACTCCAATTTTCCCATTAGATGCTACCAGATATGCTGTGTTTTAATTGATGCCCAATTAAAATCCAACACTAGTTTGGAAATGTCTATCACATGTGGCAAAATAGAAGGAATTCCAGACTTCTATCCAGTGGTGAAATGTAAAATTTGTTACTACCGGTTCTGGGGGCGTGGCTTGATGGGGGGGTGTAATGTGACTGGGTGGGCGTGGCCAACTTTTTTTTCTTTTTTACTTTTAAAAGCATTTTTTCTACAACCTTAAGAGGTTGCAGATAAAAACGCTTTTAAAAACCTTTGACGATCAGGCAACTCAAGGCATTTTTTTTTCTACAATCTCTTTGGCCGAAGAGGTTTTAGAAAAAATGCTTTTAAAAGCCTCTGACAATCCCAGCTGAGCTGCGCGATCATCAGAGGCTTTTTTTTTACTTTTAAAAGCATTTTTTTGGCCGAAGAGGTTGTAGAAAAAAATGCTTTTAAAAGTAAAAAAAAAAGCCTCTGATGATTGCGCGGCTCAGCTGGGCATGTGGGGGGGGCAGGGATTTTTGCTATTGGTTCTCCAAACCACCTGCCACTATCGCTACCGGATCGGGCGATCCAGTCTGAACTGGGAGCATTTCACCCCTGCTTCTATCCACTCTAGTACAGTAAAAAAATGTAAACTAAGGACAAATTTTGGAAGCACCAACACTTGTAGAGGCACCAAGCTGGGAAAGGCTGAATCAATGAATCAACAAGGAGAAGGCATTAAAAATGTTATGTTTTAATCTTTTTTACTACTGGATTTGCCATTAGGTCTTCTTGCAATTTTACCTCCACAGGCAAATTCATTAATACAACTAGCCATATAAGGCCCTAGGATATAAAACCCTATGAAAGACACCATCTGTCTCTACCGGTTTATTTTTCAGAATCTGGCATTTCCCCCAATTACTACAAGCTTCTGTGCTGAGCAGTGACATGGTAAAGATTTAAAGTTTGTATGTACCGAGTAGCAATGGCAAACAGCTCCCTAACAAAGAGAATAATCCAACATTATTTGATTGTGAAACAGCTGCTTGGCTATATGAATCAACGTCAAGCAAATTGGAGCTGCCAAAGTGTTCGGTCTGTTTACTCTTGAATGTTGCCCTGCAAGAATAGGAGATGCAGTCACAAAGGGCAGAAGAGAGGCAAAGTTCTTGAAAAGCTAGCACAAAACTTGTTTAGAGAAGCTTGATTTATTAGCCATGATTCAAAGAAAACAGTATTGGTAAATGATTCCAGCTGGACTAGATAATGTTGAACTAGCAGATGACAGATGTGAGCACCATGGACAGAGGGGAACAGTTCCAAAAATACATGCTTAAAAATTAACCAAAAGGAATGTCTTTGCCTACAGATGAAGAGCAACCCATGGAAAGCGGGAACACTAGAAGACACAGGTTGAGGGTGGCTTCATAGATTATTCCAGCAAAGCATGATATAGAGGGATCTTTACCTATAAACATTATGTTTATAGAATTTTTGACCTAAATGACAATTTATCACATGCAAAATATGGCTGTTTACAATCATCTCACATTAGTATTTCCAATAATGATTGTAATTGTCTATGGAGATTCTCAGTTATCCAGGTCATCGTTGTCTCAAAGAGTGCTTTTTCAAGAGGCAACTGGATTTTCTGGTTTTTTCTTTGAAGACATTTTGCTTCAAGTTTCTTGGATGAGAAGAGAAAAACAAGAAAGTCCAGTTGCCACTTGAGAAACAATCTTTGGGATAGTGATTGTAATGTGAAAATAATTCCAGCTTGATATATTCTGCATTTGCCACTTCTTTATCTTGAAACCAAAGCAACTAATTCAACACCATTTGTTAATATAAAGGAAGGAATGGGAAGAATCAGATTCTATCCAGGATCTTGACCTGGTTTTATTGAAGTGGAATGGTCCTCGCTGTGTTTTTAAAGGAACTGATTTACACTTATTTTCCTTTGATAATTCTCCATAGTTGTCTTTGAATTGAATATTTCAAAGTAGCAGATTAGTATTCACAATTAATAATCTCTACATTTTAGTTGGGCAATTTGACCTTAGAAAGTAGAATGAACAAATGGAGGAATTGTATCTACGGAAATATTTGTCCAAAAGCCCTTTCAAAACATCAGGAAAAGACTTGAGAACAAATAGGACATGAATCCAGTTGCACAAGGCTATATGCTATAGTCCTATTTTTGAACAAAAGCAAACACCTGGTGTTTGTTCAAGAGCTGTGACTAACATGTTGCAGCAATTCCCAAAGAATGGAATGAATTGTTTTATCTGAAACTGGATGGATAACTTGGAGGGAAGGGAAGAGGAAAGACTCTGAATTCCATCTTAATTGTTATTTGTAGCTTTCAAAACAAGCTCTTTATTGATAAAAAATTCAAAGAAAATACAGTGCCAACAGCACCTACATTTGTTGGTAATGTCAATATGCCTATCTAAACCTTATAAACTTAGCAATATATTTTAATGGTACATCAGCTAGAACAGATACCCAGTCAAAAACACATCCAATATATCCAACTGTAGGTCATATTACCTGAGGTTCCTGTGAATTATAGTGCAAAACATCTGGAAAGGCAAAGTAGGAAGATGACTCATTAAGAGTGAGGTGTGGTTGATTAACCATGCTCATAAATCCACCTCAGGTTAATGAAGAACGCAAATTCCTCTGAAAATACTCCCACTTTGGAAATGAGATTAACTCTATAGAATGCTTCAAGAATGAATCACAGGATTCATTTCATTGGACAGCTGCTGACTTTTTCAATGGTTCCTTTTTATAGGGTTAAATTTGTTTTCAAAGCAAAAAGGCTTTATTTTTAAATATGTATTATTTCAGCCTTAAATATCAAGAATTTATGGAAGGGTACTCATACGACAAGGAACGTATGAGTACAGTAGAGTAGAGTACAGTAGAGTAGAGTAGGAATAGGAATAGGAATAGGAATAGGAATAGGAATAGGAATAGGAGAGTTGGAAGGGACCTTGGAGGTCTTCTAGTCCAACCCACTACTCAGGCAGGAAACCCTATACCATTGCAGACAAATGGTTGTCCAATCTCTTCCTAAAAACGTCCAGTGTTGGAGCATTCACAACTTCTGGAGGCAAGTTGTTCCACTGATTAATTGTTCTGTCAGGAAATTTCTCCTTATTTCTAGGTTGCTTCTCTCTTTGATTAGTTTCCATCCATTACTTATTAATGCTTATCCATTCTATATTAAGCAGCCTTATAAAGAATAGGTGCCTTATCCACAGCCTACACATCCCAGATGAAGAAGATTTGCTACAATAATAAGGATCTTTCCAATGGGAGATGCAGCTACTAATCTGAAATGGGTCTCTTCAGTAATAGAGCTAATAGTTAAAGTGCTGGCCTAGAAAACAAAGTTTTAGTCCTATCAAGGCATGAAAGCCAGTTGAATGATTTTGGACTAGTCCCTGTCTCACAGCCCGCAACTTGCCTTGTTGCTGAGAGGAAAACAGGAAGCAGAGCATTATATAAACTGCACAAAATAAAGGTCAGATATA